AGAGAGAGAGAGAGAGAGAGAGAGAGAGAGAGAGAGAGAGTGAGTGAAAAAGACAGAAAGGGTAGCGAAAAAGCTGCAGCTTTTCGCGATTGTGCGGTTCCGAGTCGCGTTAAAGCGGCTCCTTTCGCCATGATTCGAGCCCTCGCCTCGAGATTTCGACCGTTGAATGAACGAACGAGCTATATCGGAGAAAGTAGCCTCTCCCTCCCCCCCTCTCCTTTGTTTTCACGCGAATAATGCCGCCTTCGACGTGTGATCGGATTAAAGAACGGAGTGCGCTTCAAGTCGAGGAGAAATCGAATCTTTTTTCAAAACCTCTGTTCGATCGATTTGCAAATCGTATCGATACTTGTGAAAATGCTCTTATACTTCCTTTCCTTCCCTTGAAGGATCAAATTAATCATGGATCCTCTTGAATTTCAATATCTTTCTAACACAATTTTCGAGACTATCCAAGACCATATAGGAAGCATAAAACAGCATCTAAACAATTATAAATTTCGTTGAAAATCGTCATATCTTCAAATAAAAGAATAGACAGAATAATACGAAGAAATAGTGGTTAATTTGCAAAAGTTGAAGAAGACGGACAAAGAGGCGAAGGAAAAGAAGTCCTTGTTTCACCCCTTCCATCTTCTTCCTTTTCTCTTCTTTTCCCTTTCTTTCTTTCCATCACCTACCTTGCCAAAAGTAGTTCCAACTTTCGATACAGCTCTCTTCTGCTTCGACGATGATAATCCTTGAACATGTTGGACAGGGTGCTCTTCGAGGGCAGCTCCCATGCCTGGCCAGCCGTCAATCCGATGTTGAACATTCCTCGAGGCTTGGAGTAAGTAGTGATGGTCATGCAATACACCAGCTGCGCACGAATCGAACGTTCGAGATCGAATCGAGAATGGCTTCTCGTGGGAGGAATATCGCGCGGATCTGATTCGATCTGGTTTCTCTCTCTCTCTCTCTATATATATATATTTATATATATATATATATTTATATATATTTCGAGTAGAGGGAAGAAGCGATGGCGTGCCATGTCGATTGCAACACCTCATTCTTGAAATCTTGCAACGTCGAGTTAAACAACCGAGGATAACAATCGATTCTCTTTCTCGAGAAGAAACGCGATATATAAATATCGATGATTAGCGATATAATAAACATTCCTTGTTGCTTTCTAATATATCGATATATCGCGATACTTTGCGTTTCGTTTACATCGTTATATATCCTCCGCATATGTTCTATCACCGTGATATTCTGATGAACGAAATGTCGATAAAAGGGTCGAACGACTGTTGCGATTTAACCGTGTTACCAACAACAACCCTCCATCCTCGAACGAAACGACGTCTATCTACGTGCTCGAGGGTGATCCCATTTTCCCCCACGTTGAGCCGAGAGGCAAGGAGGGGTGGGAGGGGGGGCAAGGAGCAGAGGTGTCGATGAAAATTCCAGGGTGAAAAGATGCCGACAGCAATTGGGAGATTGGAGGCGGCTTGTCGTCGTTCGAGGCTCCGATAAAACTCGTCGTCCAAGTGGTTCGACGAGCCGGAAGCAACGAGTCGGGGCCTCCATCCAAGGGGAATCGTAGCGCGCGATGGAACAGCAAATTGTCGGCGTCAAAACTTTACTTTACTTTTACGCGCTCCCCAAATCGTCGATTCCAAAACGTTAACCCGCGTCGAATTTCCGCGTCCCATCAACGATTCATCTCGGCCAATTACTCGTTAGAAGGAGCGCCACGCCTCTTCCCTTCCTCAGCGCTTAAATTTTCCATGGTTCTCGACGAAGCACTCGCGAGAACTCGCGAAACGGAGCCGGGCCGCTTATTAGAAATTATTAGGGCGTCGTTTGCATCGCAACTTCCGCCAAGTTATCCAGTTAACCGGAGGACAGACGGTGCATGCACCATTCCAACGTCGTAACCGAGTTTTCCACGATGCGACGAGTGATGAACGAAGGATGGTCGAGTAATTTAACCGAGAGAAAAAGAGAGACAGAGTATATGTATATATATATGTACACTCACTTGAACGTTGCTTCCTTCTGGAAACACCAAGTATTCCCCCTCGAATCCTCTCTTCCACCGTTCCACGCTCCCGTTCCCGATAGATTCGCCCCAAGTAGATGCGCCACGGTTCAAGATCCACAGAGTGAAAAGTAGGAGACGCATGGCGGTGTGGAATAAAATCGTTGGATCAGCGAGAAATTCGGCCGACGCGGGAGAATTCGGCCAACTGGCTGAGAGACTCAACACCGGTTAAGCGAAATACCGGAGATGATACAATGGGCGTAGTAATGGTCGATTAGACCGTTTAGCGGTTTTACGGTGTGGGAGAAGGGGTCGTTAAGTCCGCTTAAATTAGCCGTTGAAACGTAGCGAGATGGCGATCGTGTCTCAACCGTAACCGCTCTGGATTTACACTTTTCACGTCGATCGGTCCGTTCGAGGATGCGATTGGCAAAGAAGATTGCGCGCTCGTAAGAGTCGCGTTTTTCAATCCTTCGCGGACAAATTACTCCGTGTCGGCGCACTCCTTTGTCGAGAGAGATCTCGCTTAATCTCTATTTGCCGTTCCCTCAACCCAATCTCGTGAGAATACGTACGAGTGGGATACCATCGAAAAGTTTTCCAGAAATACCTTCGATACCCTCGAAACGTCGTTAGATGGAGTTTCGATCGAACTTTTTCGAACGATTCGAAGAGAAAAGGAACCTGGCTGGCTCCAGGCTTGGCAACCGTCGAAATTATAGACGGATATATGTGTGTATATATAATTCTGCAAGAAACGCAGGTTAAAAATTAGAAGGTATCCTGGTCAAATATTAATCGACATCGGCGCACCGAAACGGCGCACGTTGAATAAATAACGGCAAATGGATTTTCACGGTGGTGGTGATGGCCGCATAAATAGCAAAGTTCGCGGGGAGAGAGTTGGTGCCAGAAATGAATTAATAGAAATAGGAGGAAAGACGATCCGAGCGCTCGCCAAGTAATTAGAACGAGGGGGGGGGGGAGTCGGTGATCGCCCCCCTCCTCCCCTTCACCCTTTCGAGAAATTTCACACCGATGGCCAAAAATGTAATTGGAATCGGCCGCTGCTGGAATTGCGGATTTTTTCGCGACAGGGCAAGATAAATCTACTCTACCTCTCCCTTTTTCCGACCGAAAGTTTCGCCGCTATCCTCGATCGTTCCCTTAATTTTTCGAAGAATTATTCGAAGTTGGAACGGGGGGGTTTCATTATATTATAGCGGATTTTTCGTGATAAAATTTCCCCTCTTTTTTTACACCTCCTCTATTATATTTGGTATTCTCGGGTCAAATTTATTATCCTGCAGGAAGAATGTTCTTTAAAGAACAATTTAAAAAAAAAAAAAAAATGTACGTTCCTTTTATTCCTTCGTGGATTAGTCTTCAATTTCGTTCGATTAATTTAAATGATAATTTTTCGAGCGATCTTCCTCGTTGATTGTTAATTTCTAAAGTCTAGGGAAAGGGAAAGAATTTTGGAATGTAGGTAGTAATTTGTAATTTGCAACGCAGGTTGAAACGCGTTCATTTCCTGCAATCCGAATTCTCTCTTCCCTCGTTGAGATTATTATTGAATTATATTCGAAATATCTCGATTCGTCCGCCTTTGTCGTGCCGGAACCTGCATATCGATAATGAAGCATCTTCGAGCGAGTGCACATCTTTTTCCTTTTCTCTTTCCAACGAATACACGTACATACGTATATATGTAATTTTGTCCAAAAGTTCCTCTCCCTCTCCCTACCCCTTTTCCCTGTTGAATTAAAAGGAAAAGATGAATACCAAGATTCCACTCGAGTCCTATCTTGATTTCGACCGAATGCATCCGAACTCGTCGAGTTGGCCTACATCGAGCAACGATACGGGAGAGAATCACGATCCCTCATACGTTATTACAACATTTTAATTAATATTAAAAATAAATCGCCGTTTCGGATTTCCAGTTAAAGCATACACACACACAAGCGCGCGCACACGTGTACAGAGGAATCGCGCAAACATTCAAAATTGCATAATTGGAAGTTTAATGCGTTAACAAATTGCAACGGATGCGTTTAATTGTCTCCCTCCATCATCTCTCTATCTCCATCCAGGCATTAACCTGCCTTAATCCTCTTCGAAAAATAAAATTCCACGTATAGGGATCAAAATAACGCCAAAAAAAAAAAGTGGACGTTTTAGTGTGATTATTTTATTCGAGGAAACCTATGTGCGGGAATTTTAATTTTTCTTTCTCTCTTTTTCTTTTTTTTTTTCCTCGTTCCTAAATCAAATTGAACTTTGTCGAAATATAGATAGGATGCTCGAGACCTATTATTATTAGTAAACTGCATTCACGAGTGCATTTAAACGTTGCACGTAATACTTGGTGGTTAAATATTGGACATTTAAATAACACCGCGATATTATTTCCCTCTTCTTTCTCCTCCCCGTTCCGTTCCATTTTTCCTTTTCCTCCTCCCTTTCCTTTTTTGTAGACTTTTTCACTCAGGCCCGTTTACAAAAGGGCCGTTTGAAAGAGCGGGCGGGCACAGCACTCCGCCGAAATGAACTATAATAAATCCGCGGTCACTCGGTTGACCATTTTGTTAATGCAAAACGAATTATACCGGCGAATGTACCGACATCCTCCGAAATAGTCGGCGAAAAGTCGTGAAAAATCTTGGAAAAAAAAAAAAAAGAAAAGAAAAGGAAAGGAAAAAGAGAACGCGTGGAGCGAGTCGACGAAAAGAAAAATGGAACGCGGTATAATGGCAGCCAATCTGTTACCTTCGGGACAGGATCGTCAACTTGCGTGACAACTTTTCCATCATACTTGGTTTCACTGGATTAACACGATTTATTCTCTCCATCTAATATTATAATCAACTTAATCCACACGCTCTCGACGTACAATATACGCGTGCGTCAAACGCATCGCTGAAATAATTTAATCTCACAAGTTTTAATTGCCCGAATTGTTTCGCTCGTGTCCAATAAAATAGAGATAGCGTCGCGCTATCTTATACCGTGCCATTCTTATCCCTTCCAAAAATTTCCATTTCCCCGCGAATATCGAATATCGAATATCTATCCACTTTCGCATTCGAAAATTCGAGCACTCTCACTCATTCACCCGAGAGAAACGGTCGCCAAAGCCACGCGAGTGAAACGTCACGAGGCGAGGCGAGGAGGAGTTGGAAAAATTGGAAACACGAAGATGCGCGCAACTTTGGCAGCGACGACCCACCCAAGCATTGGACGAGGGGATTAGGCAACGGGTGGAAAAGTCGGTGGAGCGGGCGAGCGGCCAGCAGAGGAGCTCGAGGAGGAGGGAGAGAGGGGTGGCGCACGTTTCAACGTTCGCGCACGCATACGAATAGCGTCCAATTGCGGGTCGCGGGCCTCAGAACTCGAGGTCGTAAATGGAGTGGCGGCAGGTCGGATACAGCCGGTTGCAATCCTCTCCGCTCGCGTACGCGTGCTCGTAAGCTCGATCCTCCGATCGCTCGAAACGGCCACCGTCCCCTGGCAACCTGCAAGAAAAAGGAAGGAAGAAAAGGGATTTTAAGAATGGACGAGATTCGATTTCGGATGGCGGCTAATCCCTTTAAAACTCTTTCGTGATTTGAGTAATTAGTTTCCTCGAATGGAAATATTTAGACGAGGCGAGGAAGAAAGGAGGGGAAAGATAGTGAGGGCGGTGAAAAATTATGGACGAAGCGCAACAGCATTGACTCGTTGGGGAACTCGAGCGGATCGGTTTGCCAAAACCGATGGTTACCTGAATCCGGGACATTACTCCTGATTCAATTGTTTCGGTTGATTAATCCCTTTAATTGATTATACGCCGTCGTTGGCCAGACGTTTTAGCTTCATAGTCGCTGCCATTGAATAACGGTTCGAATTAGCTATCCCTGCTTCGAACACAGTTATTAAACAGTAGAGAGCGTATATATATATATATATATACGCTCCCTTTTTTCTTCGGAATTCGGATGGATTTTCGGTTAATATTAACGTAAATATTCTGAATGAAATATTCTGATGAATATTAACCACGTATAATTACTATGTCGGTATCGCTGTTTCGTTTCATATTCATACGTTGCATTTGTTATTAATTATGAATATCAATCTCGATATAGAGATCCGATGGATCTTTCTTTGCCATGGATATCCCTGGATGTAAAAGGTATTATTTCTTTTTTTCTTCTTTTTTAATCTACTTTTAAGGTTTCAAGGGAGGATTATCAGCGCCGATAAATAATCGAAATGTCAGCGGTGAATTGAACGCGATACCCACGTAAAGATGGCGTGCAGCAGCTCCTGGACCAGGCTCCCTCTTCCAACATCCTGTGGACTCCTTTGGGCAGCCTCGCACAGGGCCTTCATCACGCAAGCTCTTCCATCCAGACCCGTGCTGCGGACAAATCTTCGTTTAAAACACTTGCGCAAGAGTATCAAAGAGTATCTAAAATGGATATCGTGTTCCCGATAATGGATCGATAAAAGTGATCGATGATGGAATTTTCACGAGCAAAGTCGTAACGAGGAATGTTAATCGACTCGCATTAATTAAATTCCTGGTGATAGGGAGTATAAAGTATTTCGCGAGATATCGATATCATCCTTTCAGATGATCTCGTTAAACGTTCGTTTGTTGGTGGGGAAAAAAAAAAAAAAAGAAAAGAAAGAAAGAAAGAAAGAAAAAATACAGCAAAAGAAAGTTTAAAAACGTATTCCTTTTTTTTCTTTTTTTTTTTTCGGAAACTGTTTATCCAAAGGAAGATATTAAACGACGTTTAAACGACACCTTTTAGAACCTTTTGAATAATTCACTTTATTACTTCTGTCTCTCTTATTTAATATTCGAGGGGGCCCGATGTGTCGACAGCGTCACGATTTAAATACGAATCACGAAAATAAAGGGAATGCGTTACACAGCCGGAATCAAACAAGCGACGTCCTCTTTCTGTTTCGTTATTCTCGCACGTTCCGCATGAAAATTTCTGCGCGCATTTGCATGTGGCTGGCCGTGGGGAAAAAAAAGGGTTCCATTTGCATGTTACGTCACGCTTCGAAGACGAATGGGAAACGAGCTTTGGATCGAGCCAGAAAAAGAGAAAGAGCGGAAAAGCGGAAATAAGGATGGAAGTGTGCACACTCTCCCCTATTTCGAGGGCTAATCTCGAGGAATTCGACGATCGAGAGATTAATGCTGGTCAATGATCTCGATGGAGAACGAAGAAGAAGGATGGTCGAAGAAGAAGGATGGTTAAAGAAAGAAGAGATTTGCGACGAATTTACTCACGATTGCAGCAGAGCCTCTATTTTCGGGTACATGACGCTTCTGCTCTGTCGATCGAGCAACTTCGACACCTTCGAGTCGACTTTGCTCGGCAACTCCCAGGCCAGGGCTGCCGTTATTCCCATAATAACGTCGTTCTCCTTCACGTACGTTCCCACCGTCAGGCAATACACCAACTGGAAAAGAAGACGAGTGTGAAATGAAAGACGAGCGACGAATGCGAATAATTATTTGTGTGCAGGATACGTCTTAACTTCAAACCAAATTCGAAGGGAATGGTAATTAGATTGTACCATTAACGAAGCATCAAGCCGTGCTATCATAATACCGTACTATAAAATATAAAATTTTACCACCACCTACCTGCATATTACTCCCCTCCGGAAAAATCAAGTACCTCTTGCGCCTGGACAGCGTGGTCGGAGCGTCGATCGCGTTCCCAGAAACGCAGATGGCAAGGAAATGGAGGCACGCAAAGACGAGGAAAAGATCTCGGATGCCTTGCATCCCTCGAGCGCCGCCGCGATGCGACTCCCGTGCGTTCCGATGCCGCCACCCCCGCCGTCCAAACCAAAAAACAAACGCCTCCCCCTCGTCTAAAACGAGACGACCCAAGGAGGTATCGTAACGCGGTTGGAACGCTGTTTCCGCACTGACCGTCCTCGTTCCTCGGGCAAACGCGCAATACCAATTTCCAGAGCCCGTGTAACGGGAACGTGTTCTTCCACGCGGGTCTAATGAACAGATCGGCCGCACAGTTCGACAATTCGTTCGGCAAATAATGTATATGCGATATTATCGCCCGTCTCTTCGCCAAAATTTTCGGCTGTACGATCAGTCGACGATCGATCGTCTCTACGCAGAATCATTTTAATAAAAAATTGGCACATCACCGTTTGTTAACACGTAACGAAAACTTAAATATCGTCCATCCACGTCGAGACGATATTGGCGAGGACCGCGTTCCAAGACGATAGGGATAGAAATATGAAATATATATTGGAGGGGAGAGAGGAGATGGAGAGAAGATGGCTCGCTCATCGTACTTTTAAATGCACGTTTATATTAATTCACGCTGTGTTCACAGAATGTGTTGCTGCTCTCTCTCGAAAAGCTGGACAGCCGACGTGGGGGGAAGAGAGGAGAAGTGCCCTTTTTCACCGGGGGCGACACTTATTTCCTCATTTCGCGGGTCATAGCGGCGGAACGAGCTGCTGTTAATTGCATATGGGAGTTGCGCGCACGCACCCCCTTCCCCTCCCCCTCCATGGAGAGAAGAAAACCGCAGGACAGTTCTAAATTAATGCTTTTCGTTAACGCGTCGCCTGCCGACACGGATGCAATTATATAACCGTTCTTGTCCACCGAGGAATGTGGACACCGCCCTTCTCGTCCCTCCCCCCCCCTCCTCGCCCCCGTCCCCTGGACGACCAGAGAAATAAGAAAATTTCACGGTTCGGTGTACTTTTACTTTCACTTTTACCTTTCGTTCGGGACGGACAGGTTGCGACAAGAATTTATTTTCCATTCATCGTCGCATCGATTAACTGGAGAAGGAGGAGGAGGAGGAGGTGTTATGTACATTCGAATAAATCTCGATTATCGATCGATTCCCATCTCTGTGTCGAGAATGATTTTATTAACTTTTATTAACCAAGTCAACTCGATTCATTGAAATAGTCGACGCCGATCAAGTCGAGGGGGCAGCGTCCAACGTGAACGTCGCAGTAAACAGGGCTCCCCGTGGTGCCGTTGCCCGCGTACGATCTGAAAATTTATTACTGTTAATCCCTATCGTGATGTCGTGTATCGATACCAATATCCCTTACCCGGCCAACAATTTCAATATCTTGGCGATCACCCCGTCCCTCCGGCTCACGTACTCCATCGCTTGACAGATATTCTTCAACAAGCACGATCTTCCGTCGAATCCGTGGCTGCAACCACAATTTACCCTCCCCTGTTTTACACCAGTTACACAATTCAGAGAATGGTGTTCTTTCTTCGCCAAAGTTCGAGGCGAAGAAGCGACTTTTCGAGAAGGATGAAGCGAAGGGAGGAGAGGAAGGGCATTTTCTAGGCTGTACGAGATGTTCCAGATGTACGGATCCATTATTCACCGGTCTGTTAAATAATTTATTACCTCTCGTATACGATCTCCGCGGCCTGGTGAACGTCATTGACGGACCTGACGAACCTGGTAATCTCGGACCCGGTTGGAAGCAGCCACACCAGCTTGAAACCAGCCGCGTGGGAGAAGATGGTCGTGTAGGGGAACATCGAGATCTTGAAGTTCACCCTGTACTGCGGAGCAGAAAGAAGACCCATCGATCTCGATCGTCGATTCCTTTTCTCCCTCTTCTCTTTTCTTCGGATATTTCGGTCGATTCGAAATTGCTTCGTTCATTCGGCGAGAGCTAATAGCGAGAGGAATCGCCCCCGGAAATAAGGAGGACGGTCACGGTCACGGAGAAGCCGGGCGCGGCCCGATTGTTGGACAGCCTGATTGCGCACGGCCGATGATACGTGATGGGAATGGATGCGGCCTCGTGATCGATTCGGCAGTTTTCATTGCGGTTTAGGTCAGCCTAGGCTAGGTGGTGAGTTATACCGGTGGGGCATGATCGAAAACGCGCACTCCCGGAGGTTAAAAATTTCATATTGGAAAGAATACCGGGGCGGGGGGACGACTTTGAGAATAATCCAATATCACGGCAAGGAGGAACCCACACACGCGCGCGCGCGCCCTCTCATCCAGTATCCAATATCGAGTGGACAAAGTTAAAAAAAGGGAAGAAAAAGGAGAGGGAGAGAGAAACTAAAAGGGACACGTGTGTGTCCGGCGTGATCCAGCGCGAAATTTCAATTTCGAATCGACAACAGGATGCAGAGGGTAAACTCGATCTACGACCGCTCACGGTGTGTCGCGTTTGAAAGGCAAGGAAACACGGGGCAAAGTGGCGGGGCAGGTGTTGCTTGCCTCGCTGTTTCTGTATATATATATCGTTCAGGTGGTGGCCGACGAAACAGAAGGAAGCGCAAGGTGTCGCTCCCGAATCTTGACCGCAAGTCATTTGTCAAAGATCCCTCGACTTTCTTGGATATTAGAAACGAGGCGAAAAGAAAAAGTTTCGCTTCCTTTTTCCTTTCGAAAAAGATCTCAGCGTGTTCCATTGAATCTCCAAGATTCGTAAGAAAGCAAGAAAGAAATAATAAGGATGGAACACTTGCAGCTTCCCCTACGGGTTGTTGCACAACGTATGAACGTAGGATTGTCGAAGAAGGGGAACGATGATAAATCGTTGGTTGGGTTCCGATTTTTACATCCTCTTCATAATCGTGCTCCCCGTGTTGCTTTCTTCCGACCAGTTCCACAAGTATGTGCGAAATTCTACCCCCTTCGAATTTGTGTGATTAAACGTTTCGAAAATACAGTCGCGATTTGAAAATTTAACGATAATTCTATCGAAAAAAAAAAATAAAAATACACGCTACTTTCTTATCCAATCAAAACTCCCTCGTTTCTCCTCGTCGAGTCGATTCTTCCACGAGCGAATAATTTAATTCGAAAATAATCAATTTCCCGATAAATCATAAGCATCGAGTACGAATATCGATAGCGGGATCCACGGTATCCGATAAAGCGCAACGTGATACCGCATTTTTGCACTTTATTATTGCACGCCGTGAACACACGGTGCGGGACACAGAGGGAGGGGTGTACGGGGAAGTGTGTGTGTGTGTGTGTGTATCGATTTATGGACGGTGATCTGGAATTCAACGGCTGTCTCGTACGTTACGTACGAGGGAGGGGGAGGGTGGGTGTATAGTGCACGTGCAGCACCGTCGATACCACGATACGGTTCCACTCGGTATCGTAAGTGCACTGGATCATCACCGATTGCATAATTCTTCCAAGCACGAAATGCAATCTAACGGCGCCTGCACCTGGTGCATTCCTCCTCCTTGGTGCGCCCCCAAAATCGTAAACAATTACCACCGAATCCACGGGGAGCGGAGAAAATTTAATTTAATTTCTTAATCCCATCGCGGATTGGAAAATTATTGACGGTATAACCTCCTTTTCCTTTCCCTCCTTTCTTCGAATTCCATCGCTCTGAACAAACGCGGGAGGATAACACGGAAGAAGAGAAACATTGGAGAGAATTTATCGATGTTGTTATTATTCGCGGAAACTTGGTGGATGGTTGCAGCAAAACGGATATTCGATTCGTGGATGACGATCGCAGGCCACGGGGTCACGTTCGAGAGTAGATAAATTCGAGCACGACAAGGATAATGGATTCGAGCGGGATACTCGCGATACGTTTTAGCCCGATCCACGAATTACGTTGAGGGGCAACTTCATCGTGCATTAATGCGGTCCATTACAGAGTTGCTCGGGCTCGTCGTCTCGGGGCGGCCTTTTAAGGCGAAAATACGGCGCAACGATCGACTTACATTAGTCGTGGTCCTCTATCCACCGGCACATATGGCGCATAAATTTTCTCCCACAACCGCAAACTGGATCACGTCGCACGGAGAAACACGGTCAACAGATTATGGCTTCGAACGCGTTATGCCCGAACGCGTCGATTCACGGACGATTAAGGGACGAGAGAGAGACAGAGAGAGAGAGATAAGATACCGAGAAAAGTGTAAAGAAGTGATATCTTTCGACGATCCAAGGATTAGCAACGCGTATTAAAACTGACAAATCTAGGAAAATTTCTTCCATTCGACCCAAACTATCGCGAAATTAAATTATGAGTTTTATGAGAACGAAACGATTTCGCAAATCTTCATTCGTTACTCGCGAAAGAAAAAAAGAAAAACACGGATTAATTTCCTTGCGCGCAAACGAGACGGAAAATTTCCTTTCGTATTTAAAACAAACGAAGAGAGTGGTTTCGTCTAAGATAATTCGAAAAATCTCGAAGTTACTCGATCGAAAAAAAAAAAAAAAAAAGATAGAAAGGAGATTGGAAAATTTCTTCCATTTACGAAACAAGCTATATCGCGAACTATATATATATAT